TCTCTCCAAAATATCAGACAACGTTTCGGCACTAACTTCTACTCAAATATATCTGCTATGGAAAAAAAAAACAGCACTTACTGTAAACTCTTTTATTTGAAATAATGAGCGGTTTCCATTTTTGTTGGGTTCATACAATGTGTGTATCTATACATTTTTTTATCTTTTCATGAAGGGCAGGCGGTCCTCGATTGAAGACAAAATGTGAAAAACCAGAAAAGTACTTGATAAAAATAACTGCGTAAACGCAAGTGAAACATAAGTGGAACCACCTATTGGTGTTACGCCCAAGTCAACTTGCCAAGTTTTTAAGTCAGTGTTGGTGGTTTGACCAATCAACTGACAACTGCGGTAGCAGAAATTTTGGAAGCTAACCTGAAATGCCATCGGAAAACGAATCTATATGTTTCTAGAAATGATATGAAATCGACAAAGGTCAATGCAGTCAAGCTGCTGGAAAATAATACCATGAAAATCTAAAGATGAATAGATAAGTACTTTCTGATCATTCCCATATTGATTTCAATTCAAGAGCCAGCGGTAGACAGCTGTTTCAGCCTATTGGACATCGTCAGTACCGGGCAGGTGGTCCTCGTTTACAATTTGAGTTCGAGTTCGAATCGTTTCGAAAAATCATACACGATAGATATCGACATATTATTGCTCAAAACAGAACAGTTATCCAGAACTGTGAAAATGAGGACGAATAAATAATTTGAATTATTTGAAAAGATATGCGAGAGGTTCAGCTCACAATGAATACAAGATCAATCTTTAGACAGTATTATCATAGCTAGTTGTTGTAGTATTGTTATACCAAGTTAACCCTTATAATGAGTAACACAAAATAAAGCCTATATTGTAACATTTCTGATATCTAGATATTGCTTCGAAATATTTTTTGAAATATGTAAGTAATATCAAATCTTTCAACAACTGCTATTTCGCACCAGATGATGTTTACCATTGAAAATCGTTTGAATATAAAAAATCAACATCAAATACATTCCATGATATCGTTCAGTTATCATTGAAAATCACTTACTCAAATTTCATCATATGTACAATCGTGGCAATCTATTACTCAAATCGAATGGGTCCAAACAAATTACAACACCAACCACTTTGTGCAATCAAGAAACACATCTCGAATTCACTAGGAACCCTTCTCTCGTTCCTCCAGGATATCTGTATTTGATGTTGTAGGTGAGAACTTGTCGCTTGATTGTTCTCGGTATTTATGTTGGACTAAGTGTACAGTTGGCCCTGATTGATGTTCACTTCAATTGTTTAACTTAATCCATAGCCACCTGTTATGCAGACTGTTTGCGCTACATACTTCAATGCACATCAAAGGATGGATTTGTCGGGATAATTCAATATCTGTGAGATGGAGATAGAGGGGAACATAAAAGGCTAACATTTTCATTCTTACACTCAAATTCACATACAAGGTGTCAAAAAGAGTGAAATCGTCACTTTGTAAATATATTTTCACACCGAAAAAACAGCGAAACACGTGTTATCATATTTCAGAAAGACGGTGTAAGTGTTATGAATATAGTATTATACGTCGAATTCAGAGTTTTTACCAAACTATTGAACTCAAACTTCTTCATCTAAGATTCGAAAATACTTGATACTCAATACAATTCATTCAACTCCATAGTTACATAGTTACTAACAGGCTCTGTCTTCGTGAGAAGATTCATTTTGACGAGACCACCAATCATGAAAATTCTTGACAGGGGTAGATAACGAACTGCACTGGCGTCATGTCGTGTCTAATTTTTGAGTGCAAAAAATGTATAGCTGACAATTAGTTTTTAAGATAAACTTTGGAATAAATTGATAACATACTCAAAAAAATATTTGTCCTAGAAAAATATGTGTCGTGAAGGTCGTGACAAAGTATAAGTAACCAGTGGATCTTTCACTGTCGTTCAGTTAATTGTGTAATTTAGTCATATTGTCTTGATAATTAACTAGATCGTTTTTCCACTGCTTCACTCGGAAATTGTCAATTTCACGGTAGAATTGACTTTTTGAACTAACTGTAGAACAGTATAAAAATAATGAGAGATTGATATATTCCTTGCCTCCTAAAAAAACGGATGTTCATCGCTGGTGCGCTGGTTTTGAAGTTTAACAAAAAACTTTTAAATTTTCGGAATTTACCATAGATGGCGTAACTATCAGAATACTATTTTGTGCGTATCATAAGTCTATATATTACCACCGACACGCTCCGCTAAGTTGGTTCCTCGAAGAAAGAAGAATGGGTGGTTATCAGTTTATTTTTCAAGAATTAATCAGGTTTACTGAATATCAACTCTCCAAAACACATTTATTTCTCAAGATAGTCTTATATCTGGATAGTTAATGTGTTACTCTCCCACCATCTCCCCCCCCATGCCCCCTCATGGTTTGAGTGTCCTGAAGTAGAAGCTTCCCCCCAGCTATTTAGCGAGGAGAACCTACTACCCCACTCCATCCACCCCCGCTCTCCGAGCGGTCCTCAACTTACTGATGGGCACTTCAGCAAGATTGACATCTGACCTCTTTTGCTCGAAAGTCAGCCTTTAGGTGGTATTCTTTTGCGATCGGTAAAAATGTTTTGTCATGACCATTCCTAACTGTCACACCAGCTCATCTTACCTCTGGCAACTTATTCATTGATACTGAATATTTCATAGCTATTAATAATTGGCGCCATCTGTTGGACTTTCCAAAACTCTCCAAAACACATTTACTTTTCAAGAGTTTTTGCTTCTGGATTGTTAGTCTGCTTTTAAATTATGTTTTGTTAATTTAGTATACTTCTATCCGTAATGTATTATTATTTTCAATTCATGATTTTTATTTGTTTAATTCAGATTACTTCATTTCATGAAAGGTATTCGACCCTTATAAAAAGTAGAGAACTATCTATTAATACATTAAAAGTAATTTGATCTTCAAAAGACTCATCTGTTGACTCTATAAATTCTTCCCTATCAATATCATTATTCTGTGGATTGAAAAGTTATTTTGAAGTTTTTTGACATCCTACGTCTTCTCTATCATCAAAAAAAGTGAAAGAGTTTCCAAAGATAGAAAAAAATAATCACAAAAAACCTCTATACAATATGTACTCATAGATCAATCACAGAAGTTTCTATCAGACACAAACTTTAAGAAAAAAGAAAAATATCCGAAACCAACTACTTCCATATGGATATTAAATTACTTTTTCTATTCAGTCCTTAGTTCAAATATTCGTTATAGAATTGAACTGATATCATTCATTGGAATGCTACACAACGTAATATATGAAATATATTTGAAAGAGTATTCATGAAAATGTTAGTTACATAGAACAGCGTCTTTCTCAATGGTGTATTTGAAAGTTTTAGGACACATCATCATGAACGTTTTGGATAACATTACCAGACGAAGTATCTACATTATGACTTTATGTTACCGAATGAGATAATACTGCTCTTGTCACGGTTACAGAACTTATACACATTCATACGGAAAAAGTGGTTTCCGTGTAATTCAATGTTCATATGGAAGAAGATGTTTCAAAAAGACATTTTGTTCTCGTCGAATTGGAAGGTCATGTGCAGGTAGTTATTTCGAAAGTTTTTTGTAACTTCCTTTATGTTTTATCCAAAACCATATTCATTTCATCAGTATGTGTTAGAAATATAATTTTTATAGTGCTCATCTTCACTTGTTATAGTGATTCCTCGAAATCTCTGTTGAAATATGTTCTTCCGTTTACCAGTTGACACCTCTCTATAATTGGCGATCTTCGAAGGAATAAACTTGTGCTAGCTAATGATTATCTCCGAAAGTGCGATTCACAGCAGCATTTTCCATAGGAACGTGCGTGGTCCAACCCACTTTTCAAATGGGGTATGTAGAAAATTAACAGAATTTTTTCAAAACCAATATCATCAATTTGACATTCAGAAGAATCAATACATGTCGCAATATGAATTGTTCATTTCTATAAACTAATGTCATTTTTGGAATAGTGTTTCCAGCTACCTTTGAACTACCGACTAATAAAATTGTTCATTGAATGAGCGTAATATTTCTTCAAAATCCAAAAATCCTTCATTAAAATTTAAAAATATCACATTTACATTTCATTGTTCATCACTTAAAGAGTGAAGTGTGGAGGGCTTCCTCTTCGTTATGGACGCGCCCTCATGGCCCCACTGAAAGGAGGCGGTGGGAAACGACCCCCACGATGTTAGTGGATTGCATTCAACAAGAAATGTGGACTTCGTTTGTCTGTATTATCCGTGTGCCGGCTGCATAAGCCGGCACACATATAATACACATTTCAATTTATTATTGTACATAGCAACAGCACATTTGAGACAATTTACACTTTTTGGAAGGTGTTGTATTGTAATAAGTATCATTTTTATTGATACCAATATTCACATCCTCTATATTACAAATACAACACATAGATTTTCGAGGTATAGGACCATCATTAACATCCGAATCTAAATTTTCATCGGTGTGGTGTTCATAACAATATATATGTTTCATTATATCGATGTCATCTTGTAGATGTTTGGGTAACTTTTCCCAAACATATGCAATCTCATGTGCTATACATGCAAGTATCACTTCCACAGAGAACTGTATTAAATTTCTGTTGACGATCATAGTTATATTCACACTCACTCTTTGAGTTATTCGCGAGAAACCACCTGAAAGAGAAAGTTCATTGGCTGAAAAATTGATACTAACTCGCGAATAAGTTGAAAAGTATTGACTTTTAAGAAAAAAATACGAAGCAGAAATTGCCTACAATTGATCAATACATCCATTGCTTGAATTTATTGTCAATGAAAAATGCTCATCCCTGAGAAGGGGTGACATCCACACCCAAGGTGAAAACATCCTCCGGTAAAGTGTTAATTTTGAAGTGGAGGGTAAATCCAAATTTTCATGGACATTGACGCAACAAAATTATACGGAAAGAAAGTCAATGATAGTTCATATATTTTATTTGTTAAAGATTTTCATCGTTGGTTTCCTCCTTGCTCATCCGAGAGAAAACGGTGATTTGTCATTTGTTTTTAAGTAGTATTCACCAGAAACCCTGTAAAAAAAATGTTTTTTGAATTTTCATTAAGAAATCAAGGACAATTTTTAGTTCGATTATGGACGTAATAATGCAAAAAGAAAGTGTTTGTGTATAATTTATTAATATTCTATGTGAATTGGTTGAATAATTACGATGTTAACTGTGTGGAATCGGGTAATGGTATTACTCTACGAGCTATTATCGAAAATGGGTTCTGAGGTGAAAAGGTCTTTTTGAATGAATGAGGGTTGGAGGGCAACCACAACATATATAACTCCCTTGATCATTCTATAATGAACTGGGATACTAGAAGGAATTATACGGAATATTATAAAATGGCCCCAAACTCTGTTGGATATTCTGGACTGTCTTAGAAGTTTATAGAGGGCGGCACACTCAGCTCCTTTATGTTCAAAAAAAGAACTTCTTCATGGAGAAGCTGATGCGATACTGTCAGAAAAAAATGGTCTCGAATTCAGGCAAGGAGATCGAATGGCAAACGCGAGTCAAGTACCTAGGTCTTTGGGTAGATCGCCGGCTCACCTGGGCAAATCACATTGATAACATCAAGATCAAGGTTTAGTCTAGGATAGCTAAACTCTATCCTCTGGTCAACAGACATGCAAAGCTCAACCTTAGAAATAAGGTTTTACTATATACCACGATGTTCAAGCCTGTCATCATGAATGCTTCAGGCACCTGGGGACAAACCGCTCCATCAACTCTTTCCATTTTGGAAATATTACAAAATAAACTTCTCAGGATACTGATGAATGCTCCATGGTTCATGCGGAATGGAACCATCTGCAGAGATCTGAAGTTGTTAACTATACGGCAGTCCATTCAGACGAGAAATCAGAGAGTTTTCGAGTCAGTGACTAATGATAACCCATTAGTCACGGAAGCTGTAGATTACACTGTAGACGACCCCACTCGATTCAGAAGGCCCCGTCGCTCGTTTGAGTGAAGGCCCCACGACGTCTGTTAAAATGAACAGTTTGTTCGAAAAATACCTCAGTCAGGAAAGGGTATACAAGACCAGAGCGGAATAGAGGTCATTAACCTATATGCCGCCACTAAAACACCTTCAATTATGAACTATTAGTCCTCCTGAGAAAACCTCAGTTGAAACGGTAAGGGAAAAGTTTCCAACCTGATAAATAGAACACTTTTTGTCGTGAATCGAGGACCACCTGCCCGGTACTGACGATGCCCGACAGGCTGAAACAGCTGTCTACCAATGGCTATTAAATTGAAATCAATATGGGAATGATCAGAAACGTATTTATCTATTCATATTTGTTCAGTATATTTCACACCTACGTCAGAACAACTATAATAATATATCTTGTGAAAATACAAATATGGAGAACTTATTAATGTGAGAATAAAATACGAGATGCCTCCAATGGATAGAAAAAAAACATAAGAAAGTTATCAAAATTTGACTGAGAATCATATTTCAGTAGGTAAATTGTAAATTTTGATAAGATTTATAATATCAGCTTTTCTATTTATTGAGTGTTCCTCGTGATTGACATGTATCATTTCTGATACATATGAGACATTGTTTCAGTTGTATTATTTTCTCTACCTGAAAATGAGGGTTTTCAAAATTCATTTTATGATTTTCCGAATTAACATTTTCTGTTAACGCCCAAGCATTAACATTTCGTTTGCAATCGCTCTAATTCGATATAATGGGACTACTTAGAGGTAAAGATGTTTGTCCTATATAAGTTTCAAAAAAATCCACAAAACAAAATTTTGTATTTGAAATTGGATTTTTGATTATTTGAAATTGGAACTTTACAATTGAGATAAAGTAGTGACATTCATTTTGTAAATGTTTAAGTCACTATTGTGTTGATTCGTGAATATACGGTAGCCAATTTATATATTAATGAAAGTATAACATCGTGTTCAACTTTTTCATAATTTCGAAAGTTTGTTCTTTCACAAAATAAGATTCTGTTTAATAAGCTCAAATAGTCAAAACTGAAATATCAATAATGAAAACGAAATGAATGAAAAAATTGAAACCACTTTGATCGTTCGAAGACTACAATCGTTTCCCGATAATACAATTGTTCATTACTCCGTTAACTAATTACTCTTCCAGGAGTTGAGTCTTACCTTTCGTCAGGTGAGTAACCTCCCATCTGAGATTTAATATTATCCTCACATTTTCCATTATCGTAGTCCCATTGGCTGTTACACCTCTTTGCTGAAAATCCACCGCTTACTATAGATTCCGCATAGAGTTCGTAAGATCTTCTGTGAGAGCACGACCCGGTGATATCTAAAGGACAACCTGGTTGAAATTCGCCCCCATTCGGATAGTAGTCTACATGACCTAATGTTCCCCTGAATCCAAGAAAGGCACTATTGGTATGGATAACATGAACGAATTGTGCATCTGTGGGATCCAGTCTGTTGTTTGTTATGTCATAAAAAAATCCAGGACCAGCTGGATCTAGCCCTGAAAACGGGTGGAGAAATATTAAATGGTGAATGACTGAATGAAAATCTCTATAATGAAGAATATATTATACCAGAAAAAATCGATAATGAATCTTTTCATCAGCATCAACTTTTTTTATTTCAGGAGGGCAGTTTATGACTGTAAATTCAGGATTTGTAGTATGGCGTTTTGGCCATGTTAGGCATAT